ACATAGTATTATCCTTTGAGAGCTTCTAGTTTATTGAATGGGGGAAGAGACAGAGGTACGCAGACCTAAAAGATATGGCAAGTGTAGATAGAGCCCCGGGCGAGCAAGGATTAATATTTTATGAATAACTTCTCCTTTCATCGATCTTATCAAGAGCAGTACAGGCCTCCCACTTAGTATTCTAGTGAAGGTTTTCTTGTTGTTTTGCTGCAGCAGGTGGAGGGGGGCCATGCAGCTGGGGAAGCAGAGGTAGATGCAGTGTTTGGTGTGCACACTTAGGCCAGTGCCTGGCAGGGCCGTGTTTTGTATATGCCAGGCATAGCTACTAATATGAGTAAGCAAGCGAATGATACAAAAACCAAGTTTGCTGATCCTCAGAGCAAGTACTTACATGGTTAGCCCGAGCCCTCCTCTCCTCTTTGTTGAGGTAGTGGTCATATTTCCCTGTCATTCTCTCTTCTGGCACCTTTATTCACAATGCTCTTCCTTATCACATTGGATTATTCTCTGGGCTAATTTCTGATTTACATTATAGTTATACACTTACACATTGTTGTGTGTGGGGCCTTACGATAGATAAATTATTTAGTTATTTGGCTGTGAGGCTGCGTGAGAACATGTCTCTGTCTCCCGCTTAGAGAATGTGAATTAGGCACCTAACCGCTCCAATCACCAGGTAGCATGACTGCCCAACAAGCCAAAGGCCGAAGCAGCCAGTGTCTGAACCAAAATGAGGCCAAAGTTGTCTGCCCTTTGTTTCCCCTTTAAGAGAATCACACAGAGGTGAGCATTTGCTTTGTGGTGACTTGGGGACAAATGCAGCTTTTTAAGTTTCAAAATTTCGAGCTTACCTCTCTGAGTGCAACTATCTATAATAATAAAAGCGTAATATGCTTAATTAGACCGGACAGCCGGACAACCTTCTGGACGAAGCTGTGGCAGCGGGGGCCGAGACAGAGGCAGTTAGGGCTGATCAGGCAGGCAGGTAGGCGAGCGGTTAGGTAGGAGCCAGCGGTCCCGGATTTCAAGAGGGTGCAGACCGGGCTAAGGTCCCCCTTCCCCCCTCTCCTGGCTTGAATTTTGTGCACCAGGCCTCTAGTAAAGTAATAAAATAGAAATGCTCCCTTTTTTCCCAAGTGAGTGAAAACTCTTCTCATTGAAGAAATCCCTTTGCTGGCAGGAATACTTGTTCCGGAGACACTTGCTGTGAGTGCTGCATGGGTTTTAGGGTTCCTCTCTCAGGAGCCCCTCAGAGGGAGGGTAACTCTAGCCAGCAGGTTTTGAGCACCTGCTCTGCGCAAGGCTTCCTGTCAGCCTCCTCCAGGTCCATTGATACATTGAATGCTCAGCACCCTGGAGTGTAGGTGAGGTGCCTGTCCACCTCGGCGTGTATCTGAGAAATCCTGCCGTGTTATTTTATTGTCACCCATTGTTTCCTTTCTCTAAGTATACACATAACATCTAGCTCCTAGCGTTCATGCTTATTTTAAAAAATCACATCTACCAGAATAAGAGCAGCTTTTTCCACTTGAGTATATTGAAAAGGAGGTGCCATAGACTTGGTAATTCTAACATTGAACATCTTAATGAATAATAACAATAGGATTGCCACCGCCTCTTTTCTTTTTTTTAAAATATATTTTATTGATTTTTTACAGAGAGGAAGGGAGAGAGATAGAGAGTTAGAAACATCGATGAGAGAGAAACATCGATCAGCTGCCTCCTGCACATCTCCCACTGGGGATGTGCCCACAACCCAGGTACATGCCCTTGACCGGAATCGAGCCTGGGACCTTTCAGTCTGCAGGCCGACGCTCTATCCACTGAGCCAAACCGGTTTTGGCGCCACTGCCTCTTTAGTATAAGTGTTATGTCTCAATAAAGTGTTCTTAAGCAGTTGTTGAATCCCAATCCCAAGGTACAAAACTGACTGAAAATGTATAAATTCTGTCTATGCTGTTGAACAATGTACAAATGCTCCAGGGTGACCAGGAGGCCTCTCGGAGGAGGGGCTCTGCGTCTGAGGCTGCGTGAGGAGACAGAGCCTGGCCTCTGAATGGCTGAGGGGAGAGCTCCGGGCAGAGCAGTCAGCGAGTGCAAATGCCCTGGGTGGGAGCAAGCGCGGTGGGGCTCCTGTGCGTCTCTAACAACGTCATAGTCTTGGATCTGAACGAATTTTTCATCCTGGTGTCTGCTTTTCTCTCTCTCTCTCTCTCTCTCTCTCTCTCTCTCTCTCATTCACTCTCTCCCTCTCTCACTCTCTCACTCTGTGTGTGTGTGTGTCTCTCTCCTGCTTTTATCCTTTTCCTGCATCCTTCTAGTTGCCAGCTCACATCATGCTTCTGTCCAGGTGGTTTTTCTGGTACCCTCTCTCCCAACAGCCTGTGTCGTCTTTGTGTGCTCAGATGACCAAACTTGTGAGGTCTCTGCGTGAAATAAAAGCCAGAAGTCTGCCCTGGCCGGGTGACTCAGTTGGTTCAGACATTGTCCCATACACCCAGGTTGCAGGTTCAAGCCCTGTCGGGGTGTGTAAGGGAGGCAGCCGATCGAGGTCTCTCTCGTGCCTTCTTCTCCCCTTCCCTCTCCCTTCCTCTCTCTCTAAAATCAAGTTTTTAAAAAAAAGGTCAGAAGTCTCCATGTCAAAGCTGGAAGTACCCTCCTAGGTTAACTCCCCTGCTCTTTAGTCAGGAGAGAAGGTGACATTGCTGTATGGCAAGGTTTTAAATAGGGATAGTGTTGTTCTGTTATTAGAGCTGAGCATACGCTCCTGGAGATTAATTGTTAATTCATTCTTCTTCCTCTTCCTCTTCCTCTTCCTCTACCTCTTCCTCTTCCTCTCTCTCACCCTTTTGAGTTCTTCACCTTCATGCTCAGAAATGCAGGCAGGGGTGACACACCTGGGATGGGCTGAGAGATCTGCTAATGTTACAGCCCCTGTCACCCACCAGTTTTCTCAGCTGCTATGTAAGGTGACATTTGCTGGCCCTGCAGGTGTTGCTCCTCCGGAATGGCGCTTGGTTGCACATTTAGGCGTGTTGTTTCTGGAGGGCGTTGTCCTGAGTGATTGAGCGACAGTGTCCCTGGGCACTCTTAAACCTCAGCCCTTACAAGTGCCTTTTCCTTGGCTGCTTCTGCCAGGGGCCAAATACCGGAGTGTGAAAAGGGACGTGTCACCCGCACTTAACTGTGATGGAGCTGTCAAACTCAGATGCTTTTAATAACTTTTAAAAGTCAGTGCGGCCCTAGCCAGTTTGGCTCAGTGGATAGAGCGTTGGCCTGATGACCAAAGGGTCCCTGGTTTGATTCCGGTCAAGGGAAGGTACCTTGGTTGCAGGCTTCTCCCCAGTCCGGGCCCTGGTCGGGGTGCATGCAGGAGCCAACCAATTCGTGTATTTCTCTGACATCGATGTTTCTCTCTGTCTTTCCCTCTCTCTCTTCCACTCTCTGTAAAAAAAAAAAGAAAGTAAGTGCGAACTTGATATCCTATTAGTTTATAGATGAGTTGGTAAAAATTCAGCATAAATTCTGGGGCTTTTCCCAGGGGAAATAGAAGGGTAGTGGATAGCTGGTTTCCTAGAAGGTCACGGCTGAAATCTTCCACAGCCCTTGGCTAAGTGTGCATGGACATCGATGCCCACTCATGAACTCCCCTTAGACCCAGGACCTGAACGGATAGTTATTCTCTTCCTGAGCAGATCTGTTTCCTCTCTCAAAAGGAGCTGAGGAGGTAAGCGCCAGGGGAAACATGGGCGAAGCTTCTGGAACCCTGGTTGAAGTGGCAGGGGCAGGGACTGGTTCTCTGACTTGGTGTGTGACCCGTGGCAGGCTGTTTCACTTCTCTAAGGCCCGGGCTTTCATTTTAAAAAAAGGCAATAACGCATCTATTAAAAATAAATGGTGACCACTAGGATTTTTTTTTAATTGATTTTATTTATTTCAGAGAGGAAGGGAGAGGAAGAGAGAGATAGAAACATCATTGATCGGCTGCCTCCTGTACGCCCACACTGGGGATCGAGCCCACAACCCAAGCATATGCTCTGACCATGAATTGAACTGTGACCTCCTGGTTCATAGGTCGATGCTCAACCAATGAGCCACACCGGCCGGGCGAGGATTGCTTTGTAAATGACTTTGCCATCACTTAAACCTGTGCGTAGTTGCATTTCTCTCTTTC